AATAACAATAATAATAATAATCATGATCATAATAGTCATATCAATAATGACAATCATAACAATAATAGAAAAATCATAATAATAAATATATCTTCATCTTCATTATTATCATCATTGTATTGTTGTTATTATTGAAGTTGTTATTGCTATTGTTATCATCATTTTTATCATTATCATTATCCCTACCCTTATCACTACAATCAATACAATCATTACCATCAATAGTATAATATCATTTTTATTATTATCATTATTATCAATACTATTATCAATATCAATATTGTCAATATCATCATCATTATAATCCTTCTCATTATTATGATCAAGATAGTCACTATCAATATCATGAAAATCATTGTTATCAATGTTATCAATACTATGATCATCATCATATCATTATTATCAATGCTATTAATACTATGGTCATCAATATTATCAATATCAATAATATTATCATTATCATCATTATTGTTATTGAAATTGTAGCAGTCTCCTTCAAACATGATGCTACCAACACATATCAATGCACACTAAAAATTGTTGGTCTATATTGGGGTTTTGAAACTGGGAGCAGAAGTTACAGCAACTATAGATCAGATTTGACAGATGACATATTCTAGCCTAACCTCCTTGGCTTGACACTGTGACTGGCAGAAAGGAATGCGAAGAAGTGTCATATATTTGTCATGAGGAGGTAAGACCCATGGTTATATAGACCTTGTTCCACCCTCCCCATACAATCTTGAGTAAAATAATTTACAATTCTTTGTAAAATTACTTTTGCTATCTACCTTTCACCCAAGGTAACCAAGATACTTGATTAAAAAATAACTATTTTGTCCCTTGGGACTTAAACAGTCTTTAGTATTAATAACAAAAAAACATTTCAAATATTGCGCCCTACTTGCATAGTAGCATAAAACAAGTCTGATCCGATACAATAATTTCCTTGCAATGGTCCGTTTTCCTTATATCTATATGCTTCTCCCTAATCCAGTATCTTGGACACATAAAACAGGACCTTGTTTAGCTTGGAATGTAAACTGGAAGGAATGGGTTTTGGATCAGCAATGAATATAACATTCACCTATCAGCAATGAACGTAACATTCACCTTTCGTGATGCTCTGTATTTTTGTAACATATAAGTCTCTCTGCAAAGATTTTCTACCTTCTAGCTTGTCCTTAGCAATTCTGCGACTTCCAAAAACTACCTTTTTAACAATTAAATACCTTTTATGGTCTTGATTTCACTTTACTCCCATGTTCTCTCTTTCCCTAGGATCTTAATGCCTAAACATGAATGAATTAAAGTCATTTCAATTGTTTGGCTTCCCATTTAAGTCTGAGAAGACTAATTGGTAAAAAAGGCAATAAAATTTACATTTTCACGAATTATGATATGATGTAACTGCAGCTCTGATTCGTGCATCTTCATATACTCATTTTACAGCATCAGTAATGAAAAATGACTGTTTCTACCACGTATTACTATAAATTATATCATTCTGACTATTAATTCCGCCACCAAAATTTTCTGACATAATTATAAACATAATAATGCGATCATGAGTCCCAAAAAATAAGAAGTCCATATTTCTCTATTTTATTTCTCGTTCTTGCGACTTTAAATTTCCCAAAGTCGGACACGCCCCGACACCAGACGACTATCTACCGCGTCAGACAGGGAAAGGCGAATAAATAAGGTAGAAATAAGCGTACCTGAAGGCGTTAAATAAGGGAGCAATATGACATGACACAATTTCCTTCTTCAGCTGATTGTTTTCATCCTGAAATGTCGACATTGAAGGCAGTCTTTGTATGTGAGGGTATCTTTTCAGCATTTTGTATTTTTTCAGATGAAGAAAAATGGTCGTATTCGATAAATTATATATTCTTTCCGTTCATTGCTTATATGATAGAAATACAGATGATTTTTTCTATTCACACGTAAATACCCATCAACCTCAATCTTATTAGAATAATTATAACAATTTATACACAATGGTAATAAAGAACAACTCATCAGTGAACTGGGAATTAATTCAGAAAATAAACCAAAAGAACAGAAATGAACCATCGGCTCCGTCCACGTGTTGACTTCCCGCCGAGCCATTGAATCAGATCCAGTCAACAACAACCTTTTCTCTCGCTTTTTTCTCTTCAAAATGTCTCTTGCTCAGCGAAGTCTCACGTTTGGACTCCAGGAAAATGTCCCCAAGAAAAAGGTTAGTGTGGGGATGTGTATATATTAGAGTTTAGATGGGAGGAAGAGGTGGAAATAAGGTTGTTTTGTGTTGTGGCTGCGTCGTGTTTACGATTTCCCTTTAAACGGAAGACAGATTTTTAAAAGGATTGTTTTGTTGGATTTTCTGTCTTTCTTTAAAGTCCAGGTTCTCCTGCGAGTTCTGAGATTACTAGATTTTTTATATTCAATCAGAAATAAGATTGATATTCATGGTTTTCCAAAGATGTATATATTTGGTTCATTTAGAAAATCCAACTTCCTGGTTTTCTAAAACCTTTATTTTTTGGTTTATCGTATCCCGTGCATAACGGATTTGGTAATTTCCACGATAAGGATGTTTAAGTTTTGAACTTTAGATTAATAGATTGAATTTATAGAAGAAATGCATTGATGGTCGTTAGGACTTTGCTTTGTTCTCTTGGCGCGTTATTAATTTTTGTATTCAAGATATTTCTGCTTTGTATTATCAATGATTTTTATTATATTTAATGTGCATCCAACTTAGAAAATATGCTCGTGGTACACAGATTAGCTAAATGTGCAGGGATTTTAGTGGAAAACGTTTATTGTTGGAACCTTATTTGGAGCTTCCCTTCTCTGGATAATGTTATTTGTTGTTTTAGTAGAGTCGCTACATTTCTAATGGACGACGGGCGAGGTAAACACAATGGACAGAACGACCATTTAAAGGCCCCTTCGTCAAGGGCATTTCCTTCGAAAGTTGATTAGAAAAAATATATATGAATAGCATATGATTGTAATAAAAAGTGTGCTCCATCCAGAGTTTTAGAATTTGGCATACGCAGCATTTTGCAGTTTCTGGTTTGAACAAAAAAACGTAAATTCCGTCACAATTTGTAAAAGTGCTTTTAATTTGGATAAATACTTGGAATTTTACATGTACCGAAAAAAACGTGCATGCACATGAAGAACGTAAACAAAGTCTGTTACATGCAAAAGATTCTCTTCCTTTTCAACTGCATTTACATTTGAACTCTGGCTTCGTGTCCTTAGGTTGCGAGCGACGAGCGCAGGACGCTGGGAGTTATTCAGCCCAAGGCACAGAAGCAGTCGCGCCTTTTGCTCTCTTCCAATGGCAGCTTGCGAGTCCATTCACCAAGCAGAGGGAAGAAGAGAAAAAAGTAAGTCGTCGTATCGCCTGGTTTGCGTCCACCTGTGATTCTTTTTCTTCCATAGGTGCACGTATAGTAGAAGGAATTCATGTGAACTCGGCCCGTGGGCATATACAGCTGTAAAAGTTTTATTATATATAGTTATATATACATATTCGTAGCGGATATAAAATTCCACCCTCAAATAATATCCAATGAGAAAGTGTTGACCGTCCGCTCTTGCGTTCCAGTGACGAGAACAGCTGCCAGATGAAGCCGAAGCGGGCCGACGGCATCTTCGAGGACCCCGTGCAGCCCGCCAAGAAGCAGAAGACCTTCGCGTCCATCGCCGTGCAGACCGACGACAGCGCTCCGGTGGCCATCATCACGCCCAGAACGCCAGTCGCATCCAGGTCTTCCTCGGAACCCAGTGCCGCCTCGAAGACGGACGCCAGCACGAAATGCAGTACACTCGATATGCTCACGTGTGGTCAGTTTCGGGGTCTTTTCCGGGTTTTGGACTTGAAGGGATTGTTTTCTATATGCTTTTAGTTTTTTAATCTCTTGCTGTGTTGGGGAATTTGCAACGGTCCATTTGATATAGGGTGGTGATGAGCTGCCCACCACCTCGATATATATAATATGCGAATTTTCCGTTCCCAGGTTGGAATATTTTATTACATTAACAAGCAGTTATTAATTTCTGTTCTCTCCATTTATTATTGTCAACACTTTAAATTATATATTAATATTACTTTTTTAAAATTTATTATTACTTATTAATATTACATCTTAATAAATTCAGCGCGGCATGACCCTGCTGTTGCGGCGCCCAGAGCGATTTTCACTTAGGTTTCTTCCTTCCGTTCCCTTGCAGACACGCCGCCTCCCGAGTATTGGGAAGGCCTGGCGGAGAAGCGGCGGGAGGCCCTGGAGGAGACGCTCGAGGAGAACCACAAACTTCACGAAGAGAACACTTCGTTAAAGAAGGAAGTCACGGTCTTAAAAGAAGAGAATAAGCTGCTCGAAGAGATGGTGGAAGAGGCCAAGGGCCTGGCGGAAATGGTACAGGTAGGCATCGGGTGTTTTTTATTTATTTATTATTTTTATTTATTTACTTATTTTATTTTTTGGTAGAATTCTTTGCCCTTCAAAAGAACCACATCAGGATTGTGAGATGCTATACGACTTTTTAAATTTTCATATATTGCTATTTTCTGATTTTCCATGTTCCTCTGTTTCACGCCTCCTTTCCATCCGTACTTCAGGAACTCACGGGACAAGCGGAATCTGAAGCGGGCGCTGAAAGTTCCTCCAGTGACAAACAGACGGAAGATCAGTAAATGAAACTTCGCTGTATAGGAAACTCAAATTTCGAGTTTTATTCTTTTATTGTATAGAGGACTGTGATAGCTTTACATTTTGCCATTTACTATATTTTTATGTGATGTTATTACAGTACAAAACTGTTACAATTAACATGAGTTATAAGGTAGATCTGTAAAGTACCATATGGTAGTCATGTGCTTGTGTATTGCATAAGTGTAAAGTGTGGATATTAGCCAAAGATGAAGATAATGCATTTACACTTCATGTATTGACGAACCTTAGGTGTAATAAATTTTTAAACAAATTGAGAAATGTGGGTTTATTTATCCGTGGTAAAATAAAGTTTCACTATTTCAGTGAAGTATTTTGTAGGTCTACTTACACAAAATTGGCGTTAAAAGTTACAGGTAAATATCATTTTTATTTTTTTTTATTTACTTAATCTTTGTTGGGTTTATTATGTTTGAATGAAGTAAATCATGATGTAGAAAAATCTTATGACATTATTTAATAGTAAGAAAGTTCCAAAACATTTGTTCACACATACGTAAGCATTTCCCAGGCATTTTCCCCATTCTGAAACTATTCCTTCCTAACTTACAAATGGAAGTGAATTCTTGACTACAATCGTTAACAGCGTAAAGTATCTGCCTTTTTACTCCATCTCTTGACTTCTTTTTCAAGCATTTGAACTTTGCTGTTCAACTTGAGGTACTCCTCCACAGTGATCATCTGTTGGTAAATTATTGAAGTTAGTTGACACATCTCGGAAGAAACAGAATTTTCCACTTAAAATATATGTTTATAAATGTTGGTTTGAAGAATTTACGGTCTAGTAAGGTGCGTGAAAAATACGGGAAAGAGAACCGACAGAAGGCAGTTCGTTGGTGAGATAAGATTGCTCAACTCTATGCTTTTGTGAATATAATCTTTTTTTGTTGAAACAAGAAAACAATGTTCCTACATGTCGATGCACTACAATACTCTTAATCCGTTAGTTTAAACTTTTTCCTACTATATATGACCGTTGACATAGACCTTTTTAGTTCTAAGAAAAAACTTAAAAAAAATAAAAAAAAAAACGCACTACAATACATAGTGCTATATGACCTTTTGATGTCTAGCACATATACTTTCTTTTCATTATTATTTACTTTTACTTTTCCTGCCATGAAAAATATAAACTACTTAACCGGTTTCTTGCTATTGTCCTTGAGAGCCTGAAGTCTCCTGCGCGTCGTGGCGTTTTGCTGGTTGACGTGGGAGGTGATCCTCGAGTTGCTGGACGAGAGGCGAGTGAGGTCCTCCTCGAGCATGACCGCTTGGCTCTTCAGCTCCTCCAGACGAGTCCCTTTATGCTGTTGCTCTTCCTCCAGGCGGTTTAGTTTGCGTCGGTTGCTGTCTGTTGAGAATCATTGAGGACCATTCATGTATATAGGGTTTAAGGCCCAGTTTTTTTTTTTTCATTTTTAAAGTGTCAAAGGGAAAAAAAGTTCATTGATATTGATCGCCTTCGTACATAAACTTAGACCCATGCATTTACCATAACAATTGTAACAGCCGTGAAAATTAAAACTGAAAAAAAAACTTTATTGAAAATATATACAAGATTGATCAAAATTATAACTTTCTTACCATACCTAGCTTCTGTCTGAGTGAAGCGAGGACCTTGCCATTGTCTTCAACTCGGGTCTTCACCTCTTCATGTTCCAGATGTTTCTTGAGATAGTTAACCTGGGAGTAAATCATGAGAGGTCAGTGTTGACCGATAGTTTTCACTGTGGACAAAGGATAACTTGACTGAAGGGTGAAAATTGAAAAAAATAGAATAAGGTTTGAAGACTGGTGGGTACTGTTACCTTGTCTTTTTCGGTCACGTTTTTATTTGCAACTTCATGAATTTCTATTTGTTTATTCCTCATTACCTTCTCTCTCTCTTTCTCTCCACCTATTTTGATTTTTTTATAATTTCTTCCCTGTCTGTCGACCGTCATTCCTTATTTTTTCGCTTTCCTCCCTTACTTTATCAATATTCCCCTCTTATTTCTCCCCTCTTTTTCTTCTTTCCTTCCTTTTTCCTTCTCAATTTTCTCCTTTTATTCCTTTCCATTTTCCCTCGTCTCCTCTCCCTTTCTTTCAACCTCTTTGTTATGTTCTCTCATTTATTTGCCTTTTTCCATTTTATTTTTCTCCTCCTTCCCCTTGTTATTTCCTTTCCCTTTTTCTCGTCTTCCATTTTCTTCCTTCTCAATCTTCCCACTTCCTTTTTTCATCCATTTCTCTTCTTTCCCTTACTTCCCTTTCCTCTCCTCCTCTATCCTTTCGAATATTCCTCTCTTCCTTTCCTATCCCTGATTTTTCCTCCCCTATCTCCCTACGTCTCTCCTACAATTTCCTTCCCCATTCTTCCTCCTTTTTCCTTTCATTTCCTCCCATTTTTCCTCTCCTTTTACCTTCTCTCCTCTTCTTCCTCTCTTCACCTTTCGTTTCAGTCCTTCTCATTTCTCTTATTTATCCATTCCGTTTTTCCTTCCCTTTGTTTCTTCCTAATTTCTCTATTTTTTCTTTTTTCTTTTCCTTTCTATTACCTCCATCCATCCTATTCCATTCCTATTCTCCCTTCCTTTCCTCCTTACCTTTTCTCGTCATCTTTTCTTCTATCTTTGCCTGTCCCATGCCCTCCCTCGTCACATGATCTTTCCTTTCCTCTTTTCCTCACTTCTATCTTTGTCTATCCCTTTTCATCCCTTCGCCTCGTCTTCTGTCTTCCACTTTCTCTCTCTCCCTCTCCAACTCCCATTCCCTATCCCATCCCATCCCCTTATCCCTCTCTCTCCCATTCTCCTCTTCTCCCTCCCCTTCTCTTTCTCCTCCCTCTCTCTCTCCTATCCCTCCCTTCTCTCTCTCTCTCCTATCCCCTCCCTTTCTCCCTCTCCCTCTCTCTTTCCCCTTCTCCTCTTCTCCCTCCCCTTCTCACTCTCCCTCTCTCTCCTATCCCTCCCCTTCTCCTCTCTCTCCCTTCTAACTCTCTCCCTCTTCCCCACTCCCACCCCACTCTCACTCCCTCTCTCCCTTCTAACTCTCTCCTCTCCCCACTCCCACCCTCACTCCTCTCCTCTTCTCCTATCCCTCTCCTTCTCTCTCCCCTTCTCCCATTCTCCCTCCCCTCCCTCCCTCTCTCCCCCCTCTCCCTCACTCCCTCCCTCACTAACCTGAGAAGTAGCGTTCCCTTCAGCGTTGGCGTCGAGAAAGTCCTCCTCCCTCTTCTCGAGTCGTGACTTGAGTTTGGTCAGGTCGCCCTTCAGCAGCGCCACCTGTACGGACACCTGTGACACCTGCTTCAGCCTGGTTCGCACCTGTTCCTCCATGAATCTGGTTGAGAGAGGACAAAGCGGTGGATGAAATATACGCAAGGAAGAATGGGTGGAAAGGAAAGAGAGAGAGAATTCTGATGTAAGCGGAAAAGTGGGATATTTTTTTAAATGTTATTTTGGAACGATTTACTTTACTTCGGGGAAATAATGGACTGAATTAGTGTGACTGACATATACACACAGCATTTGTATAAATCAAATGGATAATATTTGACCAAATGCACTTTCCAAGCGTGATAAAACTAATAACATTCTCATGATCCTTATTCCAATAAAACTAAGAAATCTAATCAGAACGACAAACTTACATATGAAACACACATTTGCATGTAAGATCTCAAGCTTCCCTATAGAATATCACAAACTTAAATATAAAACACATATTTGCATGTAAGATCTCAGCTTCCCTATAGAATATCGCAAAGTTAAATATAAAACATATATTTCCATGTAAGACCTCAAGCTTTTCTATAGAGCCTCAAAAACGAATAACCGACCTTTGTAGACTGTCAAACGTTATCCTTATCCGGTGGCCACTGCCTGCGCTGGAGTCCTGTCCGCATGCCAGCTTATTAAGCTCTCGGAGGGACTTGTAGAGATCCGAACGACGGGCTTCCGCTTCCAAAAAGGCGACCTGGTGGGAGTGGGAGAGGGAATGTGGAGTGGGAGGGGGAGAGGGGGTAGGAATGGGAGCGAAAGTGGGAGAGGGAGTAGGAATGGGAGTGAAAGTGGCAGAGGGAATGTGAGAGGGAATATGAGAGGGTAAGTGAGTGAGAAAGGAATAGGGAGAGGGGGTAGGAATGCGAGAGAAAGTGGGAGAGGGAATGTGAGAGGGAGGGCGAGTGATAAAGGAAAAGGGAGAAGGTTAAGTAGCTTGTGGGTTTTACTGACTAGATTAAAAGTTTGTTTGTTTTTTTCAGGTGAAATTCCGTACCAGTTATGATGATCATGCAAATAATAATTCATATTAGTATTAAATATTTCTTCTGTCACGTCCAGAACAGCAACAACAATAGACAGAGCAGAACAGGCAAGCAAAGACGTTGACTGACAGGTTGACAGAGAAAATAGGCTGATACGCTGACAGGCAGACAGTCTAAAGGGTTGACAATCAACCGACTGACAGACAAGCAACCTGATGAGCTGGTAATCAACTGACTGACAGTACTAACAATAGGAAAGACAGATAACACTAGGAAGAAGACAGACTAACATAAGGAAGAAGACAGACTAACAATAGGAGGAAGACAGACTAACAATAGGAGGAAGACAAACTAACAATAGGAGGAAGACAAACTAACAATAGGAGGAAGACAGACTAACAATAGGAGGAAGACAGACTAACAATAGGAAGAAGACAAACTAACAATAGGAAGAAGACAAACTAACAATAGGAAGACAAACTAACTAGGAAGACAAACTAACAATAGGAAGAAGACAAACTAACAATAGGAAGAAGACAAACTAACAATAGGAAGAAGACAAACTAACAATAGGAAGAAGACAAACTAACAATAGGAAGAAGACAAACTAACAATAGGAAGAAGACAAACTAACAATAGGAAGAAGATAACTATGATTCTGACCTGGTACTTGTGAAGTTCCTGGTGCCACAGCCTCTCCTTCTTCCTCCTGTTGGCCATCACGATCTCCAACTCCCTCTGCCACAGCTGACACTTCTCCTTTTCCGACAATCTGGAAAAGCAATTTAGCCGTTGTTGTTGTTGTTTTTGTTGATGGTTTTGTTGATGTTGTTGCTGTTTTTGTTTATATTGTTGATGTTTTTGTTGTTTTTGTTGTTGCTGATGTTGATGTTTTTGCTACTGATGATTTTGTTTTTGTTGATGTTGTTATTGTAGTTTATTTTTTTGCGTATGTGTGTTTGATACTTTTATTTTTCATTTCCATATTACCTATACAGGATAACATGACCACTGA